CTTATCAGCCTCAAGAAGGTTACCAAAACGAGAGCAGAGAATGCCAAGGGGATGAAAAAGATCAAGCTTAAGCATTTCACAGGAATGATTAATTGACTGTCATTATAAAGAGGAAATGCAAACGTAGAGGTCACGTTCCACTAGAACCAACCAGTATCACAAGCAGCCAAAATCTGTTTCAGCATCTCCAAATAGACAAAGGTACAAAGATATCACTTTAAGAGCCACTGAACGAAGTTTCAAAGAACTTCCTTGCAAAGCCACATGGAAAAATATCTTTCAAAGGGAGCTTCCTCACATCAATCAAAAACCTGAAAAAGTTGCTATACACTGGAGCAAAGGGCTTTCCACATATCTTAGGCCAGCAGGTCATATTTTCACCTTTGAGGCAGGAGCTGGGATATTTCTCAAAAACACAATTTGCTTCCTATCAAATAGCATCTGCCAACTCCTACTTTGTCTCTGGCAGGGTTGGGAACACCTGGAGTTGTATCAGCGCTGGAGGGGAAGACAAAGGCAGAAACAGGCCAATGGAAAAAAAAGTGGCAAATTCAAAAGATGGCCTAATTTCACCGAGACTTTGGTCCAGTTCTGAAAGGTCCCGAGCCTTCACCTCACTTCCCACCTACCCTCAAGTCATTATGCCTCCCAACCCTTCTTTCACCCAGTCCTTTCCCTCACCTCCAGCGTTCTTCCTCAATGTCCTGATACTGCACACTCCTCACATGCAATTTCCACACCTACGTCCCACCTAGTATCCACTGTAAACAGAAGCCATGAGCCCTATAGCTTTTGAAAGTCTTGGAGAAACTCCATCTGTCAGAATAAGCAAACGTTGCTTGAAGGTGACTTAAAAACCCTAATTCTGTTTGAAAGTGACAAATCTAACTAATTAAACATGTTTACATTCTCTTATAATTAATTATAATCTTCGAACACAGCCAGGAACTCAGCAAAAAAGCTTTGAAATAGCCGAGAAAGACGTCTGCGCTGAACTTAACGAAAAAGTGAAAACAATGAGGACATTCCACACAATCAAGGGCTAGCCCTTGAATATTAAGCAATGAAGAATAGCACTTTATCCAATGGATAATAAACTCTAATGAATTCAATGACTTTTCCACTTTTACAAAGCTGGCCTTTCGCTTAACAGCTTGTTGTTGTTCGAAGTGACAAGCCAGTAAACACATTTACTTTTTCAAGTCAAATCGTTATGAAATGTTGTAGCTTAGGTTTAATAGGCTTTTAAAATAGTGAGTGATCATAATGACTCAAAGCATGGAGTAGACAACATTAATAATGTAGTCTTATCTTTTAAAAAAAAAAACTTATCTTTCACAGAGCTCCCATTTCCAGACCATGGTTTCCAATGACTGTTTTGTCAGCATCACCTGATAAAACTTGGCCTCCAAAACAGTGGAAGGTCCAAATCTGAAGTGTCCACTTCTGCAATGGCACGAATGACATCACACTGGCTTCAAACCCAGCCCCAATCACATATTGGTGGAACTTGGCAGGGCCAGGAATAGAACATAGAACAGTACAGCACAGTACAGGCCCTTCAGCCCACGATGCTGTGCTGAACTTTTACCCTAAACCTAAGGTCTATCTAACCTCCACCCCTACCTTATACTACCAAATGGTAGGCCAGGGCGAGAATCCTTGGAGAGAGTCCTGGCTGCCATTTTTTTTAAAAATCTACCTGGTGGGAATATCCAGCCTAAAAACATTTTTTTTTAAAGTTGCAAGAACAGAAGAGCCCTGATCTTGTAACTAGACCAATTATACCTCAGTATGGGAAGGCTTCAGGTATGTGTGGTAATATATATAAATGGGTAGCACCTTATTGATCTGTGGAATTAGTGCTGCTTTGAGTCTGCATGTTCAGACACTCTGTCTACATCCATAAATCAGGACATTTCTAAAATCCCTGTTTCTCGGTTTGATTATTCAGTCCCGCTGACAGATGGTCCCTTGTTCAAATGTGTCATCACTGTAAACCTCTGGGTGGCGCTAAGGGACAGCAAAAGGTCAACTTGCAGTAATATGAATGTCAAGTTTTCCCACCAGAAAGACAGGAGATTAGAGGCACAACTCAACAGTTTACAATCACTTTGCTAAATGGAATTAGGCAAGGTGGCACAGTGGTCGGGTCTGGTTTCCTCCCACAGTCCAGGAATGAGCAGATTAGGTGAGATAGCCATGGTAAAAACCCTATGTGGGGTTGGCGGGGTTGGCGGGATGCTTTTCAGAGGGTCCGTGCAGATCCTACACTGCAGGATTCTATGATTCTAATTCTTCAATCAATTGCAGCCAGTATGTTAAGAAGCAGAACACTGCTTTAATTGTGAGCCTTGAACTAGTTTAGGATTCTAATGTCAGGCTAAAATCCTGGACCCTTTTGAAATGGCGTTATTGGCTTGGGACCAACATGTACAATAGAAGTCTCAATATCAAACATTTTTACTCTGAAATGCGATCTCCACATTCTAGTATTCAAATTATGGAAGTATAGTAGAACACAGCCTTTTGTCAAAATTCACACTTTAAATGTGGGCGTTGCTGACTGGGCTAGCATTTATTGCCTATCCCTAATTGCCCTGAAGGAGGCAGTTGTGAGCTGCCTTTCTTGAAGTCCATGTGGTTTAGCTGCACCCACGGCATCGTGGGGGGGGTAGTTCCAGAATTTTAACCAAGAATCTGAAAATGCCTGCACTGTCTCCCACAAAGAAAAGGCATGCTTAATCCTATGTTAGCTTTTCTTTTTGACCACAACCTTGCAAGTTCTCAACTTGTGATCTATGGCTGCAAGAGGTGTATTTTGTCCTGGCTTTCTTCTTATGAAGATGTTGAGACAGAAGCCAATAAACGGCTGGTGATGCCTGGGTTTTTTTTTAAGAAAGGTTTTGGAACAATAGAAGCAGCATGAATGGGTGAAGTCATGCTCCCACAGAACCAGGACTTTACCTTAGTTTTCAGTAGCTGTTGGGTTTTTTGGAAGATGTTGGTGGATGCTGCATCTTTCTCTGTTACAGCTAAAAGCTTGGGTTCTCTTTCTGCTGCCAGAAACGCATGCGAGACAATCTGTTTTATTGACTTTGCCTTTGCCAAGGATGTGTTTATGGGATGTTACTATATTGGAAAGTTCACTGTTTAGTAGTTAACTAATCTATTATTCTATTCCAATTGAGTTAAAGTTCTTTTGTTTGTATTTTAACTTTAGGGTAACAATAGTGTGTTTTGCTTAAAGCCGAATATAGTGACCAATCAAATTACATCTGGAATACAGAACCTTACACTTGCCTTTAAATAAGATAAAAATCAGTGTCTAGGCTATCTCCGTGATATATCTGTAGGGCGTTTGGTCTGGTCCATAAAAAACTACAAAGGACAATCTAATACCTTTTACACATTCTCGATAGAATCAATTTCAGCACTTCTTCAGGTAGATTCTAATAGCTCCCAGTGAAAACATTTCTCAGCTCCCTGATTAATCTTCTGTAATAGATTCAGAATCTATGATTTATTTATTGAGTCTCATCCAGGGAAAGAAAAATGACTTATTTTGAAGCCTTCTCTGCAACCGCCACGCATCGCAAAGACCATTTCAGCCAACCAAGTATTTTTCAGGTTGTATTTATTCTTATTATATAATAGAAGGGAACAGTTATATAAGGAACGGCAGCAGCCAATTTATATTCGGGAAGCCTACATAACCAACCATGTGATAATAACCAGATAATCTGTTTGCTGTAATGTGGATTGAAGGGTAAATACTAGTCTGGACACTGGGAAGTAAGACCCTTCAACTTCTTGAAATAGTGCCATGGGATCTTCTACACTCAACAGACAGAAGCAGATGGTTTCAGTTTAACACCTTGTCCAAAATACACCATCTCTGATAGTGCAGCACTGCCTCAATATTGCATTGATATTTGAACTTGGACCCACAACTTCTAGACTCAAAAAGTGTGTGTTAACTACTTAACTACAGCTGACAATTGCTGGGGAACATTTCTTTTTCCCATCTACTCTCTCAAAACTCTTTTAAGATCATGAAAACTTCTATTCCATCCCCAGCTAACCTTCCCCAATCCAAGAAAAGCAAATTCTTCCAATCTCTCTCCCAACTCTGGGGAAACCACCTGAGCAGTCTTTCTAAGGTGTTCACATCTTTCCTGAAGTGTGGTACTCAGAATCACAAAATTATTACACAGTGTAGAAGGAAGACATTCAGTCCATTGTGTCAGCACCATCTCTATTAAGAACTGCCCAAAATACTCAAATTCTCCAATCTTATGAAAAAGGTGACAGAACTGCATGAAGAATGATATACAAATTAATTTAATACAGAATAGTACATCTTGGCAAATCAGTGAGATGTGTTGCTCAGGCTAAGCATTTGACATTGGCACTTGAATCATCTTTGGTGAGGAATCTATCCCTTGCATTAATATCTCAGAGTCGGATGAAGGATCATTGACCTGATATTCACTGAATATTTCCAACATTTTGTGCTTTTATTTCAGATCTCCAGTAGCCAAAATAAATCTTCCTCCGAGCTTACAATTTGTTAGCTTGTCCCAATGTCAATCTGTGTGAAAATTTGTTACATGAGTAAGGCTGCAGTTTTTCCGAATTAGAGGCTTTTTATGCAAACTCTGGGAAGTTTTGTTTTAATGGGACAGTTTGAAAGGGAATTTGCTCAAAACCGCTTGCACTTTGGACCCTCAAGGTCAGTTGGTGAAAAGATAAGTCTTTCGTCCCTGAGTTTGGGTTAGGTTCGGAGAATAAAGAAGAACATGAGCCGGTAAAACTCAGTCAGACGCCAAATTTACAGCAATTAAGTGTCACTGTATATCTTTTATATATTTAATAGCAATTTGCTACAGTGTCTACTCAGCTTCACTAATGAAAATAGAAGCCAAATATGCATCACAGATCTGACTATCATCTCTGGTGCACCCAAGTTAAAAGCAGAATTTCCAGTATAAACTTACCAATCCACATGCTACTTGCTTTGCAATGCTGTACATACTTTGCTCTGTGAGGTTCAGCACCACTTCCCCAGATCTAGCTGCAGTCTATTGAGACATAAAGAATAGGTATTAGGAAAACAAACTGACTGTTCCAGGTAAACTGGTAAACTCTCATGGATTCCAAACATTGAATTCTGACACTATACAACAAAGTTTGGCCTTATTCCATCACTGAGAAAAACAAAGGTACAAATAGAATTAGATTTTATTGTCACGTGTCCTCAAGTACAGGAGTACAGTAGTACAGTGAAAAGTGTACAATGTCGCATTTCCCGGCACTGTCTTAGCATCTTAGAGACCTAGATACAAAATCAAGTTTGGATTAGAAGAAACCATTCATTGTGGAATGTCGGAATGTTTATTATGTTAATTATCCAATCTTGAAGTTCATTGGAATTATCATTTGCTGCATCCCCTGAACATCATCATGGGAAGTTATTATTGACCAGACATCAAACCAGACCAGCCACTTAAATACTCTGACTACAAGAGCAGGGGAGACACTGGGTATTGTGTGCTGAGTAACTCACAAAGCTGGTCCAAATCTACAAAGCTCATGTCAAGAATGTAATGGATTCTCCCCACTTGTTGGGGCTGTTGTCGCTCAGGTAACACTCGCAGCTCAGTCACGTTCACAACAGACAGGCCACTTCACTGGCTGCAACCACCACCTTAAAACATTCATTCCCTCCTCTCCTAATACACTGTGGTAGCAGTATCTACCATCTACAAAATGCACTATAAGATCTTACCAAGACTCTTCAAAGTTCCTTCCAAACCGTGACCTCTATCATCCATAAGGAGATAGTCAACAGTTATATGGGAACACCACCTCCTGAAAGATCCCCTGTGCAATAACTCAGGAAGCCTGACTGGAAAGGAACATCATTTATTATTCAACAGCAAAATAAAGAAACTGCTTGTGACATATATGGGCTATTCCCAGTGTAGTGCAGACAGTTTTGCAGACACATCCCGGAGTCTGTTTTATGAAGGGGTCCTTATATTTAATGAGCTTCACGAGGCGAGTAATCAGTTATTCCGCACGGGCATCGTAAGGGTTAACACATCCTCCAAAGCACTCACCATCCTGACTCAGAAACATATCACCATTCCTTCATTGACATGGAGTCAAAATTGTGGAATTCCCTTCCCTTTAGGATTATGGGTGGCCCTACACCCCCAAGGGCTGCAACGTGCTCTTTTTGAGCTATGGCTTGGGGAAGAGAATTCCATTTTTTTTTGCATTCTCTGCAAAGAAATACTCCTACCCTGTACCTTAATAGGATGCTTATCCTCAAAAGGGTACGTCATCTTTTGCTATTCACTGACCATACAAAAGAATCTACCACTGCAGTGGATAAGGTGACCTATATTGCATCTGTAACCAGGGGGCACAGATTTCAGCTTTAAAGTAGCAGGTGTAGAGGGGAGGTTTTTTTTCCCCACTTGGAAGGTGATGGGCATCTGGGACTCTCAGCCTGAAAGTGTTGAACGGGCAGAAACTCTCACAACATTTATCAGTGGCAAACAGGAATTCAACTCTGAGAAGTGGGAGGTAATGCACTTGGACAGGAAAAACAAGGTAAAGAAATAAATGATGAACAGTAGGACCCTGGGAAGCACCGTGGATCAGAAGGACCATGGTGTGAATGTCAACCAGATCCTTAAAGTATCAGGACAGGTGGATGAAGTGGTTAAGGCAACATTTGGGATACTTGCCTTTATGAGCTGAGGCACAGAGTCTATGAACTGGAAGGTGATGCTGGAATTGTGTAAAACATTCAGTAGGCTACAACTAGAGTATTGTCTGCTGTTCTGGAATCCACATTGTAGGAGAGATGTGATGACATCGGAGACAGTGCAGGGGGAGATTTACCAGGATGTTGCCTGGGCTGCAGAGTTTCAGTAATGAAGAGAGATTGGACAGACTGGGATTGTTTTCCCTAGATCAGAGGAGACTGAAGGACAGGGTTGCGGGGGGTGTACATGGATGAGATGTATGAAGTTATGAGGGACATAGCTAGGCTAAACAGGAAGAGATGTTCCTCTTTAGTGGAGGAATAAATGACCAAGGGCATAAATTTAAGGGAAGGAGCTGGAGGTTTAGAGGAGATGTCAGGAAAAACGTTTGCAACCAGTCAGCGTTGGGAATCTGGAATTCACTGCCTGTAAGAGTGTAGAGACAGAAACCCTCAAAACAATTACAAAGTATTTAGATGTGCACTTGCAATGCCAAGACATACAGGCTATGGTTAAGTGCTCGGAAATGATAGTTAGGCGGTGGTTTCTAACCAATGCAGACACAATGGGCCAAAAGGGCCTTTTTCTGCACTGTAGACCTATATGACTATGACAAACTATATAGATTTGCACATGAAGTTCCACAATCTACAGGGCCATGACCAAGACCTGGATCAGCCTCATTGGTGGAACATCCAATTCTGTGGTATAAATGTCAATGATCTCGGAGGTTCCACAACAGCTCATTCATAGCCATTCATAAAATCTGGAAAATCTCCAATAAGTCGTCTCATTTCTCTCACCTCCAACAGTCAGTTGCGTAATCCCTCAACTTTCTAAATTTAAGGGAGTGCATGGCAAATTGATTCTAGTAAATTAACCCTTTCAGCCCTAGAATTCCAGTAAGTCTTCTGAGTTCAACAGGTCTGTACTGAGATGCAGTTAAAACTGGAGCATAACCTTTTAGTTCAGCCTCTTTGAGATAAAGATCAAGATTCCATGAGCCTATGAAAAAACTCTTTGTAATCACATCCTTGCCAGTAGCAGTTTGTAAACATGAACACTATAATCAAAGCCCCCTTCCCCATTTAAAAAATAATCCAATGTCCCTTTCACAGACCAAAGCGGCGGACCAGGGTGGCACGGTGGCTCAGTGGTTAGCAATGCTGCCCCACAGCACCAGGACCTGGGTTCAATTCTACCCTCAGGTGACTATCTGTGTGTAGTTTGCACATTCTCCCAGCATCTGCATGGGTTTCCTCCCGGTGTTCCAGTTTCCTCCCATAATCCAAAGATGGGCAGGCTAGGTGGATTGGCCATGCTTAAAATACCCATGTAGTGTCCAAGGATGTGCAAGTTAGGCTGATTTGCCAGGGAATTGCAGGGTTATAGGGTAGGGGTGTGGGTCTGGGTGGGATGTTCTTCAGAGAATTGATGTGGACGAGACGGGCTGAATGGTTGGCTTCCACAATGTAGGGATTCTATGATAAAGTGAAAGTTCTCTCATTTTGCTACACTGAATTCCATTTCGAGTGTGCCTCCACATTTTATCTATCCTTTTCAGTTGTAGCCTCTCAACTATAGAACTTTTTATTCCTCTAAAGCGCCAGCTACCAACTTGAATATACAACTCTCTGCTCTTTTATCCAAGTCATTGATCCATTTTTTTGTAAATCTTGCAATATGGATGCCAGGCAAACACCACTTGTTACATCTGGTCAATCAGATTACTCACGATCGATCCCTACTGCCAACTGTCTTCCAACCACTTGCCAACCTGTGTCACACTTGCCCTGGAGTCTGTATGCTTCCGTTGTTACAGATAACATCCTGTGTGAAACCTGATCATGATGCATCTTGTATCACACTATAACTAGTTACATATTTCTCCCAACGCCTCTCCCTTACCGCTCTGATGCTCTTAAAATATTCTTAAAATCTTTTACCATTAACTTTGATATAATTTGTGACAGTTTATAGTTATACAGTACTTTAATTATCGGGGGAGGTGATGGCCTTGTTGTATTATCACTGGACTGTTAATCCAGAGACCCTGATATTATTTTGGGGACCTGTGTTCAAATCCCGCCACGGCAGATGGTGGAATTTGAATTCAATAAATATCTGGAATTGAGAATCTAATGATGACCGAGAATCCTTGTCAATTGTCAGGAAAAACCCATCTGGTTCACTAATGTCCTTTAGGGAAGGAAACTGCCGTCCTTACCTGGTCTGGCATGCATGGGGCCCACAGCAATGTGGTTGACTCTGAACTGCCCTCTGGGTAATAAATGCTGCCTCGCCAACGACGTCATCATCCCATGAATGAAAAAAGGAATAGAGGAATTCTAGTGAAAAAACAAGTGCCATAATAACCATGGGCAATTTGAACCTTCATATGGATTAGATCAATCACATTGCCAAAGGTAGCTGGGATTCCAGTTTGCAGAGTGTATAATGACAGTATATTCTGGAAGCAACCAGGGAACAGGCTACTTTAGCCCTGATGATGTGAAATGAAAGAAAATAAATGAATGACCGCATGGTAAAGATTATCTTGAAAACATTGATCATGACATGGTAGAGCTTGATAGCCACTTTCAGAGTGAACTTTTTGGATCTGAAGCTGGCATTTAAAACTTACATAAAAAGGTAATAAGAATATAGAGAAACTGTGACAGATATTTAAGGAGATGTATCCTCTCTCTCAAAGCTGTAACTAAGTGAGAAAGACAGACCAAGAAAGATGCACCATGAAATTGAAAGAAACGGCATTCAATGCTAACAAGATTAGTGATAGAACAGAAATTTAGAAACATTTGAAAATCAGCAAAAACGTGACTGAAATATTTTTTAGAAGACGAAAATTAGAATGAGAGCAAACAAGTTGGACATAGAAAAACGACAACAAGACCCTTTACAAATATATGACAACGGGAAAAGCAAAAAGTAAGTACAGGTCTCTTCAGCGGTTGAGATTGGGAAATAAATAATTGAAAAAAAAAAGGAAATGGTGGAGGGTTTGTATTTTGTATATGGGCAAGACACAAAAAGCATCTCAAAAACAACAGAAGAAAATCAGGGGGCATAGGGGAAGACACCTCTCAACCAATCACGGTCACTAGAGAAAAAAGTGCACGGAAAACAATTGGGATTAAAAAGGCTGACAAGTTCCAGGACCTGATGACCTGCATCACAAAATATAGAAGAGCTGGGCCATTCAGCCCACCGAATCTGCTGTCCCATTCAATCAGATCATTGCTGACGTGATAATCCCCAACTTCACTGTCCTGCTTTTTCCCCCACAATCCTCGATTCCCTTACTGGATTGAAAATTCATATCAATCTTAAAGATATTTAATGACCCAGCCTCTACAGCCCTCCGTAGAATTCCACAGATTCACCACACTCAAAAAGATTCCTCTTCATTTGACTTAAATGGACAATCCCCTACTCCAAGGTAATACCCTCTGGTCTAGATGCTTTCTATCAAGCAGAAACAACCTTTCCACATCTACCATGACAAATCCTCTGAGGATATTTCAATAAAGTTGTCTCTCGTTCTTCTAAACTCTAATGAGTGCAGGCCAAACCTACTCACCTCTCTTCATAAGAACAGTCTATCTATACTCTGACCAACCTACTGAGGTTTCTCTTTCCTTAGGTAAAGGAGACCAGAACCGTTCACAGTATTCCAGCGATAGACTGGCTGTCTCTTGCATCCTAGGATCTTATAAGAAGCAACTGTAGATAGTGAACATTGACTGCAATCTTCCAAAATTCCCTAGAGTTTGAAAATATCCCAGTGGATTGGAAAACCATGAATGATACACTCCTATTGAAGAGGCAGAAAGAAAGCAAGGTACTCTAAACCAGCTTGTTTAACATTTGTTATTAGGGAATGCAGTACATTAATAAGGGAGGCAGCAGCAGTATATTTAGAACATGATCTTGCTGGATTGAGAGAAATGGAAATCATGCAAGTTACTTGTAGATTTCTCAGCCTCTTGCCTGCTCTTGTAACCGTGGTGCTTATACAGCTGCTGATCCAGTTGAATTTCTAGTCAATTGCAGCATTAGTCCGGCAATGATGATGCCATTGCTCATTCTGATTCAGGAACTGACAATGTCATTCATCCCTTATCAAACACTCAAATTATAGCATAACAGGTTGTAAGCATTGACATCAAGGCAGCAGTGGTGCTTCCTTAGTGCATGACACAACTGCAATAATGAACCTTGAAACAAAAAAAAAGCTAGTTACAAACCTCACGTAATTGCCACAATGAATGCAAAAGACATCCCCCGCTCACATACTCCAGAAAGATGTAGAGAGGTAGTCGCTCTGTCCGACAGCCCAGCAGTTTCACAATGGAATCATGGTTACAAACTTTCATGTGGAATTTCACGAAGTCCAAGTATTCCAAAATCTCCCTTGCATTTGCATTGTCTAGGGAAAAAGAAAAATACAATTCAGGCTTGTCCATTACGAAGAGCAGGTGATGCTAGAAATGGAGAGGAAAACATAGGGCAACCATTATCTCCCTGCTGGCTTCTACAGCATTGGAAAGTACCACGAGAGCATATGGCATCCTCATGTGGTCTGGAGAAGTATTTCTGGCCTCACAGAAGGACAAATTTCCGACTATACTGGATTCTCTCTTGGTGGATGGTGTAAAGAGTCAAGGGATTTCAATCAGGCAGAAAACTCAGGGTGGATTACAGGATCAGTCCTTGGTTATTGAGAGATGAGGGGATCCATTTGCATAGATACCTACCTATAATAGATGGAGCGCGAAGCACACACAGAAGCAGGGAAATCCTGCAATAGGGTTAGGATTGGGTAGTAAATGGTTCATTCTTAACTGCTTGCCTGCCTGGTTTTCACTGAGCTTGTCCCAGGGTTGAGATCAGCCTCACGAATAAGTGAGGTTACAGCTCGTTCTGCTGACATCTGTGCTTCAACTCCCCGCAAGCCTCACTAGGAAAACAATTCCTGTCCCTTAAGTGAGCAACAGCAGAGACCATCGAGCCCACAGTCCTTGTATGATTAAACCAGCTAATATATTTGTATGATTAATATATGGAATCTGGGACAAAATGTCCAAAAGATACTAGCAGAGGCAGAAGCTCTTCTTTGGCTTTGACTCAGCATCAACACATACGGACAGATTAAATCAAAGAGACAGATTTTATGGATTGTCTTCAGAGCAAGAGAGTCGGAGGGCAGTGACAAGAAATTCAACAGCATTGTGCCTTGACAGCTCAAGACACACTTACCAATGATGGAAGAAATCATGGCTGCACTAAGTGCCACAGCTAGAGGAATACGAAGCTATCAAAGGATTGTATGAGGTTACAGAGATGAAGAGGAGCGAGGCCTCAGAATTCAAATTAAAAAACCAAAATGTGATAGAACCCAGGGCCAGTGCGACTCAGTGACACAGGGCTAACAGGTGAGTGAGCCTTGGTACAAGTTAAAGTACTGGGCAAAGATTTTTGGATACGCTTAAGAGACTGCAAGGAAAGATTTCATGGGCACAACACATTCATTGAATTCATGGGCTGATGTCAAGTAAACCCTTTTGGTATCGCTTGTCTGTAAAGCTGACCAGTATAATTCAGCAAACAATACAACATGACATGCCTTCACTACCACAAAGTAACCCACAGACCTGCAAACAAGAACTGCATGACCACCCTGTTCCATACCAGCACTAGTTCAAAGGCCAGATCACCCATCCTTTCCCAGTTGTGAAGCTGAGGAATGGCCAAAAACACAATTAACTTCTCCTAGGAAACTGGCCCATTTCTCTCAAAAACACTTGTCAATGTCTACATGGGATCAGGTGTGACTACAGCAAGCATGGATCTACAAGATAATTTCTGATTCTTTGCAGAGGAAGAGTTAGTATGCTGATAAGAATCTCGAACCATTTCTTTGAAATCACCTGTACGTGAATAAATTCCAAGTGACTCAAATTATTACAAGAAAGAATCAAAACTCCCAGCCCCATGATGATAGTTAGACTAAGAAATAATTTCAAAATGATTATGCGTATGCACACAGTGCCTCACACCCCACTAATCCACATCTGAGTGACCCATGCCCCGTCCACCTTAACCCAACCTCCAACATCCCAGCATTCACTCACTCCCTCCCCATCCCACATCCCAGCACTCCCTCCACCCACAGATCCCAGTACCTGCTCTCTCTCACTCCCCCCCCCCCCACAACCCAGCACCTGCCCTCTCCCCCCCCCCCCCCCCACATCCCAGCTCCCGCTCGCCACACCCCCTCCCCCCCCACATCCTGGTACCTGCTCCCCCACGTCCCAGCACCTGCCCCCTTCCCCATATCCCAGCACCACTCCCTAAACTCACTTGACTCCTTCTGAAAAAGGATGTAATCAAAGATTCAGACGATGCAATGGATTTCAACTCATGCTGTTTAGTTAAGGTGCACACCACTGGGGAATTAATAAACACATCTGCTGCAAACAAAGGTTACAGCAACTACCTTTCAACAGAATGGACTGATTATCAAAGTAGACATTGCCACAGTGTACTTTAATGGACATGGCCATGTTTTGGTCGCGTTTTTGCTGGTGAACTTTACCTATGAATGAGAGTAGGCCACTCAGCCCTTCTAGCCTGCTCCACCATTCATTAAGATCATGGCTGATCTGCTTGTAACCCAACTCTACATTCCCGTAAATTCTTGATAATCTTTCATCCCATTCACTGTCAGCTTGTGCAGGCAGTAGCAATGAAGTGGGCTTACCAGACAACGCTGGCCTATACAAATAAGACCCCAGTTGGCAGAACTGCAAGAGACGTTCCTTCAAAAAAAAAAGTTTGAGAAATGGACTGTTAGGGCTGGGCGTTCCCCTTTGAGGTGAGAATCATGATTCAAGTTTCCTGCCCAAAGCAACCAATGATGTCACTGTCACGTGTTCATACTGCAATGAAAACATTTACGTATTTACTACCATATACAGTCAGTAGGTGAGACATTCCAGAGGACATCAATTCCTGTGAGATTCTTGACACACCTTAGGTGTCTGTTTATTTTTCTAGTTGCTCTCAACTTCTGGTGTTTGAGGTGTACTAAGAGCATGATTTGTCATTGTCTGTTCCTGAGTTGACAGAATGTTTAGAAGTTCACACAATGTCATGGTCTCTCCTCCACTAAGCTACTTTTTCCCTCAGATGCTTCAGAACTGTTCTGTCCTCATGTATATCCTGGTCTCTATTTGGCACAGTTATTTGAGGATCTTAGGTTAATGTTTTCTCTGGCACATTCATTCTGGATCCCAGGAGTTGATCTGCATTTCTGCTCCATTCTCCGTCTGTATGGTGCAGAAGTCTGTTCTACAATGACGGCTGGTACCACAGCACCCTAGTGGCGTAATTCCTCACCAACACATCTTGGCTTTTTGGAAAACACAGCATTTGGCCTTGTTCTCTCATTGGAACCTGGATTCTGTTGTTTCTGGTCAACAATGACTTTTGTCACATATGATTTCAACAAATCAAATGCTGTGCTCAACTGACACTTCACCATGAGCAATGCCAGAGAACTCAGAGTTGTCAAGTGGTTTGTGTTCTGGTACATTCACAAAAACAGGCTCAGTTTTTGGATAGTGATCCTTGCTCTGGAGTTTAAGGAATGTTTTATTGTCTGAATAAACCTTTCCCCCAAACCATCGGTTGCTGGATAAGGAGCTGATCCTTACTGAATTGTTCTGTTTTAGATAGTCCCATCAACTCTTCTGATACAAACTGCAGACTATTATCACTGACAGAGATTCTGAAATCCAAACCTCACAGAGGTCTACCCCATTCTTTCAGCGGTTTTGTCAGAAAATGTCATCTTCATGATCTACGTGGTCTGCAAGTTAGGGAGAGAATCTGCATAGCACGACGTACTAAAAGCATTTTAAGCACCACCACACTTCATCTCATTTCAAACAAGGTATTCCTGATGCAGCCCCTTTCTTGGAGTCTACACCCTTAGCTCAGGCCATTGCCCTCCAACGTACAGTCCTTGTTATTCAGTGCTCCTTCAGGGTGGAGCACGTGGCAAACCTCTTCTGCAGTTTACCTCTTCCCTGCAGTGAATTCCCTCCCCCTCCCCCCCACCTAATTGCCAACTGCATCTGCTTTGGTTCAGCAATGACATCTTTTGACTTATTTTCTTCTCTTTATTAATGCGCCTCCAGGATCTACAGCGAGCACCACGATTCAATTTGTTTTTAACGAATCAGTGGCTTGATCCAATGGATCTCAAAGCAGTTTTATCCTTGTCACCAGTTTTCTTCTTAGTTTATAATCGAAGGAAGACCAGGAATCCAAAGTGTTAAATAACAGAAGCTTTGTTATGGAGATGTTTACTCAACAGGGAGCAAGATTAGACAAAGCTGTTTCCTGACCAAAATGGCCAATGATAGTGCCACTATCAATGACCAGACTCAAAGTGTCAGTCCATCACAATACACAAATACACAACATTTACGATCCTATCTCATGCCTGGCAGTATTTGTCCAGGTCATCGTTGTACTGGGGTGGCAAGGATATACTGAAGCCAGGGCCACCACCTCCTGCAGCAAAGTGGGAGTGGAAGTGGGTGATGCTGTGGCAGACAGGTTAGAAGGCCTACATCCATTCACTGGGACATTGGACAGCTCTGTACATTAGAGTTAGGTACTCCAGCTATCACTGTTTCAGCTGTTTGAAAAGCTCAATAGATGGCTGAGCTGTCAATCAATTTAACAGTCGAGTACAGGATCCAATTCATACATTAAAATCTGAACTACAATACTATTGAATGCAAAAGAACACTTCATCCATTGGAGAAAGCACTCTAACGCTTTCACAATTTTTAAAAAAGAAGTTTGGACTAAAAAGTCTATGATGAACATGAAACCATTGTCGATTGTTGGAAAAATGCATATGTCTAATAATGTCTCTTAGGGAAGGAAATCTGCCATCCTCACCTGGTCTGGCCTACATGTGATTCCAGACCCAGAGTAATGTGGTTAACTCCTAACTGCTCCCTAAAAAGGCCGAACAACCACTCAGTTCAAGGGCAACTAGGAACAGGCAATAAATGCTGGCCAGCCAGTGATACCCATGTCCCATGAGCGAATTAAAAAATGCTGATAAATTTCATTGTCACATCTCTGAAAAATAAAACGCTATCGCTGTTAAAAACATACTTATCATATGGTGTATAATTATAATACGTAATGTTAGCAACAAAGTTTATGTCAAAAAGCTTTCCAACTCCAGAACTGGCATCCTCTATAATTCATGACACCTCTGACCTGACATAGTTCAATCAAGTTTCAGAAATGTACCAACCTTGCTGAAAATATCAAACTAATTGAAATACTAAGCTGAAGTAGGTAGCACTATGGCAGTCCCAATGCCAGTTTGAGGGTGCATCAAAATGGAACTGGTCATGTTTCTCATCCCAGTTGTAGCTAGTTGTTACTAGGTTGCAAATTAAGCATTCTGGGCCCTTTACCTCTGTGTCCAAATACCATACATCTGCCCAACACTGACAGCGAAACCCAACACATATCATTCGCAATGCATCTCTCCAGAACCACAATTACCAGTAATAATAAGCACTGCCAAAGTTTACTATTGTGTTTTTAATTCAACCCAATGCAGGAATGTTTCAATGGTGAATTCTTAACCTGCAGCATTATACAATTGAAACTAAGCAATAGTAAAATCTAGAATATCAAAGTTTGCATTCCAATTCAAACGTTAAATGTGCATGTTGGGCAAGAGCTACCAATTGGCTAAGAATGTCAAGTTCCAGGAGGACGGTGTTGGTTACATTTGTAATTTGAGAAAATTAGGTTAAGCAAATATATGAAAAGGATTCAAAAATACAAATTGTTGGAGAAGCTCAGCAGATCTGGCAGCATCTGTAGACAGAAATCAGAGTTAACATTTCGGTTCCAGTGACCCTTCCTCAGAAGTATGGTAGGTAGGAAAATGTCAATTTATATGCAGAAGATAGGGTGGGGGGAGGGGTTAAGGAGTAAATGATAGGTGGGGATATAGCCCAACAAGAGAGAAGGACGGTTGGATAAAGGAGTTGGCAATGATCTAGCTAGGAGGATGAATAGCTATGAACAGGGATTATTAGTGGCTAACAATGGGTTGTATGTAATAGCAGAATATGTGATAACAAGGCCTGATGTGTGGAGGTAAGGACATGGGAGAGCACAAACCCTAAAGTTATTGAATGCAATATTAAGTTCAGAAGGATGCAGGGTCCCCAAGTGGAAAATGAGGTGCTATTCTTCCAGCTGAAAGGATTGTCCTGATGCAGTTCAAAATATACTGCTATTAGTAAGAATTTGGGGGTTTTCAGGAGTTATTTATCTCACTATTAAAGGCGGTAAATGAGTGGGGGTGATTCATTAAAAAGAGAGTGAGAGATGAATGGAAAGGGTCATGATATCAATCGATGGTACTGTTGCACAAGTCACATTCCAGAGTGAAATCTGGCTTAATAGATTATTTTTGTTTGAGTTATGTGGTGGTTGGTCACCAAAAATATCCACATGAGGCTGCAGATTTTCATTAACTGCAGCACTGAATTTTATTATACAAAAGAAAAATAAACAAACCAGGCTAAATATAGAAGACAGTTCGCAAGATCTAAATCACTGCAGAACAAAGTCTCTTCTGGAGACTTAAATCCAGAGAAAGTACACACTTAGGTCTTAAATTTTGAATTAACTGACTCCTAATAGTTTCTTAGTCATGAACTATGGAAACAATTCGTTAAGTTCGTGCTAAGTCTGGTGACGTTAACTTTTCAAAAGTCTGAGAGTCTAAATTTTCTCAGTTTCAATCATTTAACTGAATTCTCCTGGTTTGGAAGTTTCACAAGTGAAATCCTTCTACTGAGGTGCCATTGCTCATTAGTCCCTGAACTCCTTCAAAAGAGAAACTAAACTTTCTTCTGAACTGAACTCTGGAGTATATTGAACAAAATTGAAAACAATGCTAATGGCCTTACACCCTGTCAAAAACAAGAGTATAAACACCTTTCCACAAACACCACAGGGGTCTGCAGTCACCAGCTTTACAACAAATACTGGATTTTAAGTCGCTGGTCCAGAAGGAGACTCAGACCAAATTTTTTTTGAAGAAGAGCAATCCCTCTACAGAAGGTAAAATTCCAAACATGATGTCCATACTCTCATCAGAAAAGCATTAAGGATCATTCATCACCTACCATGGAGAGATTTGAATACAGCTTTCACTTCTCCAGACCCATCTAAGGGAAGGATATTGGCCTTGTATATTGGTCCATAACTCCCACTCTGCATATATTCCAAATTCCCAGTCAGGTTTTCTGGTGGGATCTCCCAACGGTTGAGAGAGGGATCCCTGGCTGCCAGAATCCGTTCTGTTGCAAATGTCATTGATTCGTATTCATTCTCCAACCGCTTCGCAGGATTAGGTTTATCTACAAAGATTCAGGTTCAAAAACAACAATTGCTCAAAACAAAAAATTAAACCAGCTGTAGGTAAAGACAACATTTTTAAAATTCATTTTCAGGATGTGGGTGTTGCTGGCTGACCAGCATTTATTGCCTGTCCATAGCTGCCTTTGAGAAGGTGGTGGTGAGCTGCCTACTTGAACCGCTGCAGTCCACCAGCTGTAGGCAGACCCTCTATGCCATTAGGGAGAGAATTCCAGGATTTGGACCCAGTAACAGTGAAGGAACGGTGATACATTTCCAAGTCAGGATGGTGAGTGGCTTGGAAGGGAACTTGAAAGTGGTGTTGTTCCCATATATCTGCTGCCCTTGTCCTTCTAGATGGAAATGGTCCTGAGTTTGGAAAGTGCTGTCTGAGGATCTTTAATGAATTTCTGCAGTGCATCTTGTAGATAGGACACACTGCTGCTACCGAGCGTTGGTGGTGGAGGGAGTGGACTCTTGAGGATGTGGTGCCAATCAAGTGGGCTACTTTGTCCTGGATGGTGTCCAGCTTCTTGAGTGTTGTTGGGGCTGCACTCATCCAGGCAAGTGGAGAGTATTATCATCACACTCCTGATTTGTGCCCTGTAGATGGTGAAGAGGCTTTAGGGAGTCAGGAGGTATGTTACTCGCCGCAGTATTCCTAGCTTCTGGCCTGCTCTTGTAGTCACTGTGTTTATACAGTGAGTCAAGTTGAGTTTCTGTTCAATGGTAACCCCCAGGATGTTGATAGTGGGGGATTCAGTAATGGTAACACCATCGAATGTCAAGGGGAGTGGTTAGATTGACCGTTATTGGTGATGGTCATAGCCTGGCATTTGTGTGGCACGAATATTATTTGCCACTTGTCAGCCCATATTGTCCAGATATTTACTACGGTAAAAAAATCTGATTGAGGCACTGGGTAGTGTATGAATCTACAATAATGCCTAAGATGGAACTACAGGACAGGCAAAGGCTTTAGAATGTTTCAGAATTTGAAATTCCAAAACGTAAGGGGAGAACGAACATGGTTTGAAAGAGACCAAATGCAATCATACAGCACCAATCAGGTTGTTCAGATAATATTTCCAATGGAGGATTGCACAAAACTATCGAGTTGCCAACCCTCCAGGGCTGGTCCAGAGTCTCTGGGAATTGAAACTCAATCTCTGGGCATTGCTGTGTGCCACCCTGGAGAAAAATCACAGGGATGGTAGATTAAAGATTCATGGTTGTGTAGGGGGGGTGGGGGGGCTGGATTCTGTCAGTTTCATCAAACACTTTTCTGTACCAGATGTAAAAAATATTGAAAATGAAGGAAAAACAAAGGCTGTTTGACTGATGGTCAACACTATCCAATTGGCTAATGAACTTTTTCCACTTTCTGGTCGATGTAGGAAGGCGTATCATAAAGATGGCTGACAAAATGACTACAGTCGTGTAATGAATTCTCCTGGAATATATTTAATTAAGATTTGGCACCTTAATTAACAATTAAACACTTTCCAGCAGTATGTTTTGGAAAAATCGGAAAAGACAGCAAAATGAAAAGTTGGAATGATTTTCCCCATACAGCATTTGAGGATATGGTGACAAGGCTCCTCTCATACGCCTAAACCATTACGCTAACAGAGTTATTTTAACGGAAGGTACAGTTAAATTACAGACTGCCCTTTGGGCCATCAAGCAATGGGTTAACCCTCACGTGCATCCCCTGCTCTGCCTCCAACTCCTGCATCAGTTTCATATCTCCTATCATTGCTTCCAGGCACCTTTCAAAATATAATAGCAAAGGATAACAGAAAAATCTCTGTGTATATATAAACACCCAAGGATAAACATAGGGAAAGACAGCAGCTAATTTGGACACCAGGGACCCCTCTAACCCCACCCACCCCAACTCGTCTTCAAAATACTGGCATGGAATCTTATGTCCACCTGAAAAGGCAGGTAATATCACGTGTGAAAGTGTAACAGCGGCAGGTCTGACAATGCTGCAGCATCTCAGCCCTGACTGGCTCAGTCAACACTTTAGAAGGGGACTCAAACCAACAAGCCTCTGACACAGGGGAAAGAGAATTCTATCACCGAGCCGCAGGTGGCACAGATCAAATCAGGAACTGCCAAAATTTCTGCCAGTTTAATAATCAGCAAAATTCCAGTCATTCTCTTCAGCTCCTGTAAACATCTTCAGCCTGACCTCTATCCATCTCCACAGAAAGTCAATGTTGTAATAGTGAACTAAACTCCAAGTAGGTTGGGTTAGGAGATCAGGTCTCTTCAGAATGTGTGAACCTTTGGTGCAATCCACGGCCTTCTACTCAGTCAGGGTAGCAAATTTAGCCAGAGGTTACGGGATTGCCTGTTTAACATAATTATTACTTAGAAATTCATAAGGCCACCAATGGCTGGGTTATGGGGTGGGAGAAGTAACCCAGTCCAGACACTTGAGGTACCTTTAACTGGTCTCTTTTGTACAAGTATATGCAGGGGAGCCAAAGACAGAGCCATGTCTCTCCTCAGACTTGCAGAATAATGGTTACAGTGTATTATACAGCAACAAGGGGTGATAGGTGAAAGTGTTCATATGAGCCAGTTACACAAGCCGTTACATCTGAGAGAATACCATGATGGATACAATATCCTTTACGGTCAGGGTCTGCCCATAATTTTAATTTTGGTTGCTTGCCCTGGCCTAACGGTCAGGCTACTCCCTATACTCCTTAACTCTTCCAGCTGACTGCAAACAAACACACTGCTCCCCCATTGGGAGTTACCTTATCAAAGACAGAGTGACCTACTGCGGTTCAATGTCGACAAACCGTACCTCAGGTGTGATGCTGTCAATTTGAAAGGTACCCAGATGAGGAGTATGACTCATTACCGAACTGCAACAGCTCCAATACACTGACTGTCCAGTGAGTGTTTGAAACAAGCACTATCCAGTAGATTGACAGAAGAATCAAGCCCAGCACAGGAAAGATCCAAATTGCTCACAACCTATCCATTGTTCAAAATAGACCTAATTTTACACAATGATGGAATTTAATAATAATGGAATAATGTTCATTAGAAATGTTTGCAGCTAGTCAGGGTGATGACTTAATTCAGAGCAGGGTAGGATGTTATCTAAACTAGATTTGTAGATCTAGAGCTGGCTGCATCAGCCACCTTCTTAATCTTACACACAATGGAGGTCTGCTATGAAGGCAGACATTCTATAATTTACTCCAGTGTTGCAGACAAAGGTGAGAAAGGAATTGGATGTTTTCTCATTGATCATTTTGTTGAAAATTCAGTTTTTGGATCTTAACGGAGTGTGAAATTGAGTGCGGCCACATTGCCCCATTCATCCCATCTCTGTAGAAGTGACCTCTCTAGAAGGTCACTAACACCAGACCAGAAGCATAACCTTTCCAATGATATACCAGAAGCCAGACAGTGCCTAGTGGAATGGGAACCTCAGCAGAAGCGACCACCTCCATTACACTAAGAAGCAGCTCACCAGGTCTATGATACAGTGAGTGACAAAGGTCCAATCAGCTAGTGAGTTTGGCTTCATTTGTAAGCAAGACTTTAGATTAATCCAGAGCAAAACTGAAGTTGGTGAAAATGGTAGTTTAGCCCATTCCTTACGTTGAATTTATAGTGTAAATGGTTACACTGGATATTGGGTTACTAATGGCTTAATTCCAATTAATATGTTGATCATATAACTGTGTACCCCCTCATAGGAAGTGATGCAACATCACATGATTTGTTCTCATGCAGCCTCATGGAAGATAAGCCAGACCAGTAAGTTGCATCCAATAAAGCTCCCATCTCATTTCCCTCTGTTAAGTATTTTATATTCGTCTAACGATTCCAAACATATAGTGGCACTCGGAGAGTAGTATTCTGGGCAAGTCACCACCATGCCAACAAAGTGACTTTACATGTTGAGGGCTGCTTTCAGGGCTAGAATTGTAGCAGCGATACAAATTGCACTGAAACATTTGGAAATAAATGATGCCTCGCCATCTGCTCAGTCTGTTTCTGTCCATACAGTTGGCAGATGGTCTCATTATGAAAATTCAGCTGAGCTCCAAGATAATGTGTTTAGCCAAAGAGTTCCAACAGCAAGTGTTAGCTTTATTTTGTTGACACTTGAGGCAGTAATAATTTGTTTTTCTTCTCTTTGATATAGTTGTTCATTGCCTATTTGTTTGTACAACCAAAATTAGATTTAAAGATATTTGATATGAGAATTAAGTAATACACCTATTTCATTAACACTTAAGAGCAGCACTTTTCAAAGGCGATTTTCAAACTTGGTTTAATGTGTCAGTTTCAGGAACAGTTCAAAGACTTGCAAGTCTCATTATATGGCTTACTGCTTGTCAACATAGTGGATACTGGAAGAGTAGGAATGGAGGATACATGAAAGTGTGGAAAGGGGCACAGTGGTGTGCAGGGAAGATGAGGAGGGGAACATTGGCAAGACCTTGTACACATACCTGTCAAATGTCTCCTAATTCTAGAGCAGGGTTCCCACCAGGTTCACAAACTGATTTACCTGGGGGGCTTGCTGCAGCCTTCAGGAACCCACCAGCCCTGGGAAAATAACAATCTGAATTTGTAGAAGGGATTCAAACTGTGAACCCAATCTCGAAGTGTGCATTAGGTCATCTCACAAAACAGAAAACAAAAAGATAGGCGATGGAGGGAATTGCCTGGCAACTGAGAAATCAACAGTGCACACACCTCATGTTTCAGATTCCCATAGATGGAGAAGACCTGGCCAACAGGCACTAAAGGCCCCTGTGTACTCTGTCTGGGCACCACATTCTGGGAATTGAACAAGGGTTTCTAAGGATGAGAGGTCAGGGTGGTGTGGTTCAGTGGAGAGGCGGAATTATTCTCTCCATAGAGCAGAGTGGGCAGAGAGTTGATTTGATAGAGCTGCTTGAAATTGTGAAGGGCTTAGGTACAGCAAGTAAAGAGAAATGTTTTCCAATGGCTGTTGAACCAATAACTAGACACCACAGACTTAAAAGATACCTAAAAAAAAGAGAACCAGAGTGAATTGAGGCATCTTGATGGCACCTTACTAGTGCAGAGATTTAAAAGCTAGGAGGTAGAAACCCAAGAAGGGAACTTTTTTCACTTGGAGGGTGGTGGGAGTCTGGAACTCTTTGCCTGAAAGAGTGGTTGAGTCAAACTCTCAGAACATTCCAGCAGTTCTGGAGTAGATTTGTAGCTCAGGTCGTGGATGCTGTGGTTGGTTGGCTCACCGAGCTGGTTCATTGGTTCGCAGACGTTTCATTACCCTGCTGGGTAACATCATCAGTGTAGCCTCCAATGAAGCACTGTTGTGTTTTCCCACCAGTTATTTAAACCCTGGGGTCTGTTAGATTTGGATTTGATTACCTCACTGGAGAACCAGGCCTCTAGGAATTCCTGTGCTTGTCTCTGTCTGGCCTGTCCTAGGATCTTGATATTGTCCCAATCAAACTGGTGGTTCTCCTTATCCACGTGAATGGAGATGAGAGAGTATTGGTCGTGTATTTTGTTGCTAGTTGGTGTTCATTGAGGTCATGAAATCCAACGGACCCCAGAGTTTAAATACCAGGCAGGAAAACACAACAGTGCTTCATTGGAGGCTGCACTGATGACGTTACCCAGCAGGGTAATGAAATGTCTGCAAACTAATGAACCAGCTCGGCGAGCCAACCAACCACAGCTTTCCAGTAGTATCTGGATATTGAAGCATTGCCATAGCCTTGAGGGCTGTGGGTCAAGAGCTGGAAAATGGGATCACTGTCGTCAGATCGTGGTCTGTCACGGTAATTACAGGCTGAATAGCATCCTCCTTCTGTGCTGTATACCTCCGAGTCTGTAAGGTGGAGGTTATTTTTCTTTGAAAAAAATGAGCCTTGTGATTTTGATTTGAAACATAGCATCTGATGGGCTACTGGGGGCAGCATCAATGTAAGCTTTCAAAAGGGAATCAGAAATAGTTGAAGGCTAAACAAATTACAGGGCAATGGGGAAAGAATTGGACAGGGTGGGACTGGCTAGATTGCTGTTCAAAAAGAGTCAGTGCAGACACAATGGGCTGAATGTTCTCCTGTTCTGTATTGTTTGAGGATTCTTTAATAAAGATGACAATTAAGAACAGGCCAAGTAGCAAACGTTTCTATCACCTGTTAAAAGGTGATTTTCCTGAAAATGGGAAGTACACCATTTTAGGTACGATTGCAGCTTAGTCCATTGTCTGACAGGAGTGAAGAGCAGAAAGTTCTAAAATTTGCTAATGTACCACAGCGATCAGTGGGCTGGAGTGGAGTGGAACGGAGCGGCCAGCGGACTGGGACCCAGTGCAGTGCAATCAGCCTGTCACAAATCCCGAACCCAGAGAGTGAGACTACGTGTGGAAAGCCTACAGTGTGGACAGACTGCAGGCTATAGAAAAACTGTAACGTTTATCTTTTAACTTTAACTTTATTTATTTGTCTTCCTTATTTAATCTATGAAGAACTGTAATATAGAACTTTTAGGTTCTCTTTATTTCTCTATTTTTGTACCTAATCTAGTTCAGTACAAAAGATTTGTACCTAAGTACTCTGTACCCAAGATGTGTGGTGACATTGTATAGATTTCATTGTACTCCTGTACTTTGTACTTAAGGACTCATGGACAATAAACCTAATTCTATCTTCTAAAGTCATTCAATCTTGGATAAATACTTCTCGCTGCCTTGGGAAGACAACCAACATAATCAGGACACATCCCACCCCAGTTATAATCTCTTCCAACCTCTTCTGTTGGGCAGAAGATACAAAAGCTTAAAAACACATACAAACAGATTTAGGAACACCTTCTGCCCCGCTGTTATTAGATTTCTGAATGGACCTCTCAAATTTTAAATCTAATGTTGACCTCGCTCTTCGTGCGTCTTCTCTGCAGCCGTAACACTGTATTCCTCGCTCTGTTCTATTACCCCAGTAAACTTTGTATAGAATGATCTGTTTACACTGCACACAAAACTTTGACAATAATAAATCAATTCAAATAAAAATAATCAAGCTCACCCACCTTGCAGCAGTATGACTGGAGCACGGTCCCTCTGTTTTTTCATCTTGCACGTTTTCCAGATGATGATAATGATCAGAACCACAGATGAGAAGCCAAGGATCACTGGGATGATGATAACCCCATTGTTTGCACCATTTGCATCTGAGACAGGAGGGAGGAAGGGACATATATCTGCCACACTGTTCTCCTCTGGTAACAAAATCTCAAACACACCCATGTCAGAAATTTCTATTAAATTAATCCCGTGAGATATTGAGGAGCTGCTTGGCCAACTCCTGTCCCTATGTTCCTAACTCAATTCCAACTAAAACAGTGTCCTTCTCTGCCTTCAGGTCTAAAAGAGAAGTACTGTAATCTGTGTTAAAGAAATTGCTGAAATAATTGTGCTACAGCTAGAAAGTAAGCATCACTAAAATAATAAAGTGAATAAAACAGAGACAGTTACATTTATATAATTGGCTGTAATAGGTTATTCTAAAGGACTTTCCAGCCAATGATGTACTACTTCACTAATAACGACCATTGCAATGTAGGACTGGTGATGATGTCGTCACTGGACTAGGTACAGAGAGGCCTGGATTCAAACCCATGGTGAAATCTCAGTTCAACACGAACCATCTCCAATAACAATCTGGAACCTGATCTGCCGTTCCCAGGGGACTGGTCTTATGGTCAACTTCCAGACTCTTGATAAGGAGAAAGCATACAACAGCTTGGATGGTACGTATGTATTCAGGACTCCGAACCTTTGGGGTCAGGGTGGAGTCTGGTTTCACTCTGTGCAGTACAGGGGTGGGGGGGGAGGAAATGGCTGTTTCAGCTTACACTGATGTGCCCACGTTCACAGACTCAGTTGACCCACCTCCAATGCACCAGTGCCAAGGGATACACCCTGCAGTGTCCTCTGCCCAGAATCAACTGGGCAAAATGTTCCTGATTCCTAGCTGGTCAGTGGTGGGTACAGAGCAGCTCAGGACTTTTGCTGGGAATATCACCCATCTCCTCTGATCGGGAGTCTACAAGGTCCTGGTTGGCGAATTGGCAAGAGCTGGAGGCCCGTGGCACCATGTGCCAAGGGCAGGACTGCTGCCAGTGCTTCCCTGCAGGAGCAAGGTACTGGTCATAAACCGACTAGTGGCCACTGTGTTGTGGTACCAACTGGTCATACAAACAAGGAACAAGCATAGGCCACTCAGCCCTTTGAGCCTGCTCCGCCATTCAAAACAATCATGGCTGATCTGATTTGTACCTCGATTCCACATTCTGTATACTCCAATAATCTTTCATTCCCCCATTTCACTTTGTAACAAACTCTGAGGCAAGATTCAGAGATGTCACAGAGACGCTCTCAGTTCCTCTGGGATAAAAGGTAGCACAGGGTCTCCTGCTAAGGTAGGATGGTCAGGTGCTGGTGTACTCGGCCAGCCATTTCCCATGTTCACAGCCTGCAGAAATACCCTCTCAGAAATGGAGGAGGGAGGGAGTTAACCTCAGGCTGCTGGAGGAGGGGAGGTGGGGGGAGGACTAGGTCTGTTGGCGGAGGTAGGGTGCGGGGGCCAGACTCAAGAGTCAAGCTGAAGGCTGGAGGACCAGGTTGGATGATGTTGCAGGAAATTGCTGGGCAGGTACAACTTTGTATCTAATTCACAGACAAGGCCACCAAGGATCTTCAGACTGAGAGGTTTCCCCTCTGCAGTTATGTCTGAGTCACCAGGGCATTGCAGGGAGAGAACCTGTGACATCTGCCACCTTGCTTCAGCTGTCTGCATCTAGTGGGTACCATCATCAGTCAAAATTACAATGGAATTGGATTTTGCAGTTTTCTACACCATTTTCTTTGTTACAGTACGTAACTGGACTGTCAATCCCAATTTTGTTTAGTTTGGTTATTTTGTTTTATTTAGTAGAAGGATCTGATAGGGTACTGGTAATGTTACTGATCACTAATCCAACACTCTGGGAACATGGGTTGAAATCCCACCATAACGGTTGTAGAAAATCAAATTCAATCAATCAGGAACGTAAAGCTAGTCTTCATGATGGTAACCTGGAAACCACTTTCAATTTTTAGTGAACCAGATGGGTTTTCACAATGTCCTTTAGGGAATGAAGCTGCCATCTTTACCCGGTCTGCCCTATGTGTAACTCCTGACCCACAGCAATGTGGATGACACTTAATTGCCCACAGAAGCCATCAGGGAAACCACTCAATTCACTACATACGTAAGGACGGCACAGTGGCTCAGCGTTTAACAATGTTCCTTCACAGTGCCTGAGACTTGGATTTGATTCCACCCTTCATCAACTATCTGTGTGGAGTTTACATATTCTCCCCAAGTCTGTGCGTGTTTCCTCCGGGCGCTCCAGTTTCCCCCCACAGTCCAAAGATGTGCAGGTTAGGTGGATTGGCCGTGCTAAATTGCCCCAAAGTGTCTAGGAATGTGCAGGCTAGGTGGGTTAGCTATGGGAAATGCAGAGTTACAGAGATAGGGTAGGGGATGAATCTGGCTGGGCTGCTCTTTGGAGAGTCAGTGTAGACTCGATGGGTCGAATGGCCCGCTTCCACACTTTTAGGGATTCTATGATTCTACACATCACCTTGCCAATGACACCTACATTCCATGAAGGAAAAGAAACTAAAATGAGATAATGATTTAATAATTGTTTCAACTATTATTAGTTGAGAGATGAATCTTGGCCAAATTATTAGGAAGATGGCTCTGCTCTCCTTTAATACAGTGTCACATAATCTCTTACATCCAAACAAGGAGCCCAGGTGAACCCTGTGAGAGATGGTACCCCCAAAAATACAGCACTCCCTCAGAGCCACATTGTAATGTTAGCCTGGTCAGACTGAGCTCAAGTCTCTAGAGTGGGACTCAAACTCTCAACCTTCTCACTAATAAGTTGGAATGCTGTCATAGAGTCAAACAGCTTGGAAACAGACCCTTTGGTCCAACCAGTCCATGCTGACCACAATCCCAAACCAAACAAGTCCCACCTACCTGCTCTTGGCCCACATCCCTCCAAACATTTCTTATGCATGTATTTATCTGAATGTCTTTTAAACGTAAATGTACCTGCATCCACCACTGCCTCTGGAAGTTCATTCTACACACAAACCACCCTGTGTGTGAAAACATTGCCCCTCATGTCTTTTTTGAATCTGCTCTTCTTACCTTAAAAGTATGTTCCCTAGTCTTGAAGTCCCTCACCCTAGGGTAAAGGCACCTACCATTCACCTTATTTGTGCCCTTCGTTATTTTATAACCTCAAAACGGTCACCCCTCAACTTCATCTGCTTCAGTGAAAGAAGTCCGAGCCTACCCAGCCTCCCCTTATAATTCAAGCTCTCCATTCCCAGCAACATTCTAGTAATTCTCTTCTGAATCCTCTCCAGTATAATTATTATTAATCCTTCATAATATGGTCATTGGCAATTCCTGAGAAGACAGACTTTAATTTAAACAAAAAAAAAAAATCAGAGACTCACTACATCGATTCGAGGTGCTGAAATTGCACTGCAGGCTCATTAGACTTGAGCACACGTTGGCAGGATCTGGAAAACACGAAAGTATCATTAAGTAAGAGCAAGGAAGTCAATAATCCATCAGACAGTCAGTATGGTCACATTAAAAAGGTCATTTCTAAAAACCGCAGTGGAGAGAGGGTGGGTTCTTCTTGAGTCCCGTGGGTACATCCTGACCAAGCCCAGCTCCCCAACCAGTGGCTGATATTATCAGGTTATCCTGGAAGACAAGTGAGGATTTACCAATGCTAGAGTGACCAATTGTGCAGAGACACCAGCAAACTGGGCACAATACTATTGAGGACCTTCACCTAGAACTTCTAGGCCAATACTAGCACTCTTGCAAGACAGCTGGATGCTATTCTGACATTGAGCTGCTTAATTGATGTACTTCTGAGGTTTTATAGGGCTCTGGTCAGACCACATTTAGAGTATTGTGAGCAGATTTGGGCATCATACCTCAGGAAGGACGTACTGGCCCTGGAGCATGTCCACAGGAGGTTCACGAGAATGATCCCAGGAATGAAAGGCTTAACATGTTTGAGGTCTCTGGGTCTATACTCGATGGAGTTTAGAAGGATGAGAGGGTATCTAATTGAAACTTACAGAATACTGAATGGCCTGGATCAAGTGGACATTGGGAAGATGTTTTCATTACCAGGAGAGACTAGGACCTGAGGACACAGCCTTGGAGTAAAGGGAAGACACTTTAAAATAGAGATGAGGAGAAGCTTCTTCAGTCAGAGTGGTAAATCTATGAAATTCTTTGCCACAGAAGGCTGTGGAGGCCAGGTGATGGAGTATATTTAAGATAGGTTCTTGATTGTCAAGGGGATCAAAGGTTACCGGGCGAAAGCAGGAGAGTAGGGTTGAGAAACTTATCAGCCATGATTGAAAGGTGGAGCAGACTTGATAGGCGGAATGGCCTAATTTCTGCTCCTATGTTTTATGGCCTTAACTGCATCAAAATACACCATCTCCCACCCAATCACTGCTGTTATTTCAGGAGGGGTCACTGTCAGACAAATGTTCCATTACACTTCCAAGAAGGTGTTAGGTGATGGGTATTGCAGAAGGGTTAGGAAGAAACAGTACAGACTAAACGACAGTTCCTAGGAGAGAGTCAGGAAAAGATGGACTGGGGATGTGGTTGCATAGAACCTTGAAGGTATCAGGATAGATTGAGAGAGCAAAGAACATGGGATCATAAATAGAAGTACTCAGTAAAAAAAAAAATGGGAATTGATGCTGGACCTTTTGAAAGCTCTGATTAGCCCATATTAGGAGTATCAGCCCCAATTCTGAACACTGCAATTTACAAAGGATGGGCATCAAAGGAAAATAAACTTGCAAGGCTACACGGACAAGGTAGTTGACAGGTGACCTTATAGAGGTTTATAAAATCATGAGGGGTATAGATAAGGTGAATTGCAGGTGTCTTTTCCCTAGGGTAGAGGATTTCAAGACTAGGAGTCATATTTGTAAGGTGAAAGGAGAAAGATTTAAAAAAAGACATGAGAAGTAATTCCTTTTTTCACCACACAGAGAATGGTTCATGTGTGGAATGAACTTCCAGAGAAAGTGGTGGATGCAGGTACAGTTACAACATTTTAAAAGATATTTAGGTAAGTACATGAATAAGAAATGTTTGGAGGGATATGGGCCAAGCACAGGCAGGTGGGACCAGTTTAGTTTAGTTTGGGATTATGGTCAGCATGGGCTGGTTGGACTGAAGGGTCCATTTCCGAGCTGTATGACTCTATGACAGAGTGAGTGAATGGGGCAGCCTGGATTATTCCACAAAGGGCCAGTATAGATTTGATGGACTGAATGGCTGTCTTCTGAACTGATGATGACTGGTCAATTGAAGTCAGTATAAATACCATAGCCTGGAGATTTTCAAGAACAACGGGACACTAAAAATCTAACATCAAGCAGTTCTGAACATTTTGAAGATATTGGAATGCTGAACAAGAATTAGCAAGAAGCTCCAAGATCTCTGGTGAGATAAATGCTTCCAGATGAATCTGGACAGAGATTGGAGACGTACTAAGGAATTCTCTGGTGGAAGCCAAGAAGTCAAAGCAGCATACAACAGTTTAGGGTATCAGGATTGCCAGTGCCAACCTTACCCGCTAAAGAAATGCCCCAGTGAAAGGAGTCAGCCACCTTTCCCTACCCCTCTCTTTACCACCCTCTTGAATACCCCACTTCCTGACTGAGGCAAAAGGAGTTTCTATCTGTATTCCAGAGGTACCTTTTAGCCCAGCACTCCTCATTATTATTTCCACACATCCTGGTACGGTCCTTCCTCATACCTGAATGAAGCACGAATAAAAATTCCACATTTATAATGGCTCAATCTGCTGCGATCCCACCGGGAAACCTACAGACTCCACCAGCTTCTTAATCAGTGACCTTTGCTGGTCCCTAACAAAGCTCAGCTCTATTGGCAGGACCTGGATAAACATTAGTCATTTAAATAGCTGCTTCTCACTCTTAGTCAAAAAATTCTACTTCAGAAAGAAGGCCAATTGAACAGAGAGATGTAAACCCCAATGTATTGTACTTTCAGTACAATCAAATCCTGGAATGATTTGAACTGTTATCAATGCTCACAGCTCTTACACCAAAAACACATCAGATGCCATTTTTATTACGGTCAAGAGAGTGAACACAAACGGAAACAAACCACCACCCTGTTAAGACACAATGTGGTGAATGACTCAGTAATCATTGAGTACGTGGCATTTAACATTCGCACATAAAATCAAATCAACTCTCCCTGTGGCTCCAATTTCTAACAGTCTGGTGGTTTTAAAAAGTTGAATGTTTGAACAAAACCTACAGAAGTAGACAGGGATCGAACTGCTCAGCAACAAGTAGTGGAATGGATAGCAAGCTGACAACAGAATAGTCAAAGGGTGAGGAATTAAAGATAGTTACTCCAATTTGTAAAAAGAACAATGGAACATGGTGTCCCCCAAGGATTATAGAGAGGAACACTTACCATTTATACATGTAATTTATGCTTAGGAACTGGAAGGACAATTCCAAACTTTGCAGATGGCCAGAATTGGAGCAGTGGTAAATTCCAAGGAAGACTGTGGCAAGCTGGGCTTTATTTTAACACCAAAGAACGGAAATTTCAAGTCCAACCTCAACTCGCCCACTTCATTATTCAATAACCAAAGGAAATAGAATTGTTTTATTCATCTCAAAAGCTTTGCGTAATTTTCAAAGCCATCATCAAAACATCCCCTTGGCCTCTTCACTCGGGTGGAAGCCCTCAAGTTTTTCTTTTATGTCTGCTATGTCTTTCCAAACCCAGTCCTGATGAATTAATCTACACCACACTCTCTTTCTGCTATTAATGACTGCCCACAGACAACGTGGGCCCTGGTACAAACTTGGGTTTCTCCATTTGCTTCAGAAACTGACAGCGTCCCTTTCAAACGGGACCCAACCATTTAAACAGTTTGAAAATCCACAGAAGTACCAACGAGAGAAACAGAGTATTATTCTAAACTATTACTTTCCGCCCATTGGCCTTGGCTCTCAAAAGCAGGAACAGGTACATGGGAGCAGGGCAAAAGACACATGAGAAAATGAGTAAATTTCTACAAGTCCTGTTGGGCGCTGATTGAACGCAGAACCATTTGATAAGGAAACCTCTCCCCTTCGTGAGCAACTAGAACAAGAAGTCTCATTAAAAAAAAGGAAACAGAAAGCTTTTGTTTTTCTTTACCAAATAATCCTTTTACCCTTTGGGTTAGAGGGTCAGATTTTATATCAAGCTGTTTAAACAATGACGTTGCACCTGTAGCAACAGCAACAAAATATCAGTTAATGATCAACCACAGCATCTGAAATTTCTAATTGTCCTTTTATTGACTATGTTGTAGTGTCAAATTTGGCTGATTACCTTCATATTATAATACTGTTACATCATAGAGGTTCCTGCTGTGTTGTTGTGAAATATGAAAGAAACATCCGTGGAAAACAGAATGTAACTACCTGAATACCACAATACTCCATAGTATGTCATCGCTGTGGAGAGACTATAACAAAGACAGTATTTTTGTCTTGTTGGAGTTCTTATTTTGCATCCTCTTAGCTGAAAAATATAGGTTCTTTGACAAAAAGCATCACTCTCAGAATAGATTTCTAATTGCAAACTAACAGGGTGTGTCACATTCTGACTTCACTCAACACAGAATACTGTCAATATTATTGACTACCTATGTATGGATGTTTACAACAACATGACTTTAAAAATCACGGAAATTTTAAATATTGGGGACACACGCAGAATTGAGAGTTCTTTGGGAAATGACCAGAATGGTGTGTGGTTTGACTCCAGAATATTAAAAAAAAGTTAATCAAAGAGCTCAGACAACTCGTCACAAAGTTTAGACCTCACAGGATTTTAGGAGCAGTTTTGCTGTTAGGTAGTTGGGAACTATCAGATGAACAAAGGATTGTTAGAAGAGAATAAAACCATTGAAAATAGGAGGAGAGTACACCATTTGGCCCATCAAGTCTGCTCTGCCATTCAACATGATCATGACTGATCTACCTCAAAGCCATATTCCTGCACTGTCCCCACGCCCCAGATACCTTTAGCCTCCAGAAATCTATGTCTTGACCATGCTCACCAAACTCAGTTTCATTGCTGTTTAAGCCCGCACAGCAAGAATCACACCCCTATTTCCACCAATTCCTACCACAAACTGTTTCCAGAACAATTCACCACTCACTGGAGATCCCAGAATTGACCAACACCATCTTTAAAAGCTGGTTGTGCTCGTTGGTCAGCCTGGAGCTATCCTGCACACTTCCTGATATTTGCTCAAGATATGACAGACCACAAGGACTGGAAAGAAGGGAAGAATTAAAAATCTTATCCTGCTTTCAGAGCAGATTTCGGAGAGTCTGCTGGACAGAATGGAGCAGAGGTGGGACTTCCTCTTTCTCCAGGACCAGCAGAGGAGGCCATGACACCAGACCCTGCCCAGCCTGGTCCAAGG